GAGTAAATATGGGGTAAAGGGCAACTTTTGACAGATAACAATGATAACAATGATTATAATCAACGATTGATGACTTTTAAAATGTTCCCATAAGAAGACTATTCCATTGAGCTTACCAAAAATTGACTTTACAAAATACAGAATTTACATAGGCACATGGACCACCACAATGAACAACGGCTACATGTTACAACAGACGCACATGTCAACATATGAATTGTCTCCCCAAATCTCCAAATTACTATGAGAACACATATAAATAAAATTTCATGTAAAATGTTTTGCCATTCCTTATATGCACACCAAACTGTACACCTATTGATAGTAATCCCATACTTTTCATTAACAATCAACATTTGAAATGGTGTCCCGCAGGTGCCAGGTAAAAATGTCAGAGGTAAAAATGTCAGAGGTAAAAATGTCAGGGGTAAAAATGTTAGAGGAAAAAATGTGAGAGGTAAAAATGTGAGAGGAAAAAATGTGAGAGGTAAAAATGTGAGAGGTAAAAATGTGAGAGGTAAAAATGTGAGAGGTAAAAATGTGAGAGGTAAAAATGTGAGAGGTAAAAATGTGAGAGGTAAAAATGTGAGAGGTAAAAATGTGAGAGGTAAAAATGTGAGAGGTAAAAATGTGAGAGGTAAAAATGTGAGAGGTAAAAATGTGAGAGGTAAAAATGTGAGAGGTAAAAATGTGAGAGGTAAAAATGTCAGAGGTAAAAATGTCAGAGGTAAAAGTGTCAGAGGTAAAAATGTCAGGGGTAAAAATGTCAGAGGAAAAAATGTCAGAGGTAAAAATGTCAGAGGTAAAAATGTCAGGGGTAAAAATGTCAGAGGAAAAAATGTGGCAGACCAGACAAAATCACATTCGTATATCATTTTGCCAGTGATTTGAATCACTTTCGTATATGTACATGATATATAAAACAGTCCAGTCAAACCTGCTTTAGAAACCACCTGTCTACAAAGACCACTTTTTTTTCCTTAGGAAATGGTTTCTCACTAAAACATGTACTAAAGGAACCTGTTTCCAATGACTACTTTATTTGAATTCCTTCGAATAGGCTATCGTTATAGACAGGTTTGACTGTATATCTGCAAGATATAAACATGAAACACTAACATAACTTACAAGAACGAAGATGGATTCTTAGTTATTTCATTACATGCTTTGTTACATTTTAGAGCTAAAATCATCTCAATTACGGGGAATTTCTTTTAAAGGGCACATGAAGAGGAGGTAGAGGGTAAGGCAGCATGACAAGGAAGTCGTATGACCCCTTTTCACCCTCGACGACCTTTTAGTTTCGTAGTTCATCTACTTATTGAAGGTAAATACTACCTAAATAGCTTACTTATGTCATAGAAAACCGAAACATCAGACAACGTTTCTTTCAAAATGCAATCGCGTGACCATAACTGGTTTTTATCTTTAAAGGGCACATGAAGTGTATTATCAGTAGCGTACCTGCCCCTAATCGAATTGAGGGCTGTAATGCATGATTTTGAATAAACAAATCATTTTTATCACAATTCTACGTTGTGTAACATTTTTTTTTATATAAAGCAGCTACCCTATACAATTTATTATGTGGCAGCGAAACTGCGGGTTAATAGACAATATATATGAATACGTTTACGTTTGTCATTCTACTAAAGAAAACCAAATTTACATTAAGCAGGTTATTTACAGACCTAAACAAATATAAAAATGATATATGACGAGCTATAACATGAATTATTGACTGAGACTGGTGTTCTATAAATGGAAATAAAATCCACATTAGATTCCGATTCATGATAAAAAATACAATTATTTCCTTCTTATGATAAAAAATGGAAAACATATTTACAAATTCTGAGGAGGAAGAAGGCAAAATTCCCCGACGGCGCGTGACTTGTGATTTGGTCGCCACTTTATGCAAACACGCATTTCTATACAAAACTTAAAAACTATGATCTACACAAATACCTCTGAAGAAGAAAACAAACTTTAAAAAGTTTAACATTTCTTATGTGCTACGAGTTGTATTGTACAAAAATTACTTATTAACAATTATATCAGCAAAGTAAATATGGGGTTAAAGGGATAGTTGAGTTTTGTTTTCAGACCGCCAATGCCTTCAAAGTGCATGGTTATTACTCTTATTCTTATCTATGACATTTCTAGTGCCCATTTAGGACCTAAAGTTGCTATGAAGGTGATTGTAGACCCCAAAATGTGTGATATTTAGCCAATATAATCATACCAAATCAGTTCGACTTTCCCAAAAATACGGTGACCGTTAATTGGTTAATTAATTAATAGTAACAACTCATGTGCCGGCTGTTTGTGCGTAATATAACCAACACGAAATGGCCAACAAAAAGCCAACATCGGCATTGGCTGAAATACAACGTCTGGTTAAATAATGAAATATTTGTGGTGGAACACAAATATTAGCAATCGTTATATTTATGGATATTTCAGCCGTCTCTGAACCGATTTTGACCAAAGAGAGATGATTTTGTCATTTAAATTGTATGTTCTTTCAAATTTGGCAATCAGTTTTTAATTTCATCTCACAACAAATATTTTGTGTAGCGCCCTCTGCAACAGAACTCAACAATCCCTTTAAGTGTAACTTTTAACTGATGATGATAACAGATAATGATATCAATGATTATAATTAACAATTGATAACATTTAAAATGTTGCCATGGGAAGACTATTCCATTTAGCTTACCAACAATTGACTTTACAAAATACAGAATTTACATAGGCACATTGACATAATTATCAGGGACACAAAACCACCACAATGATCAACGGCTACACTTTACACAAAACTGACGCACATGTAAACATTCAAATTTCTCCCCAAATCTCCAAATTACTATGAAAACACATGGCATAGGCCTAAATAAACTAAAATATAGCTCATATCTTCGCATATTTTTCATGTAAAAAGTGTTGCCATTCCTAATATGCACACCGAATCAGTACAACCTATTCATTAAAATCCCATGCTATTCATTCACAATCAACAAAAATAAACTATATTTAAAATGGTGTCCCGCATACCAGGTAATATGATATAGAATACCTCTACACTTTGTTATGCGTAGATGACTTGTATTTTGCTTTATAAGCCCTATTTCATTATCACTGCAATATTCGATTAAAAAGTCTAATGATATTGAAGGAACTTAACTTACAGTAACACTACGTTTCTAGTAGGGTCACTTGATTTTATATTACGTCAGATCAAAACCACAATCTTATAACACTTTCTCAGTAATTTGATTCACTTTCCTATATATAAAACATAATACAGCCAAACCTGTTTTAGTGACCACCTGTCTACAAAGACAGCATTTTTGGTTTCTCAAAAAAATGGTTTCCTTATTAAAACATGTACTAAAGGAACCTGTCTTCAAAGACCACCTGTGTGCAAATGCCAAATTTGTGTGTTTTCCTTCAATGGGAGGTTACTATAGACAGGTTTGACTGCAAGATATAAACATGTAACACTAACACAACTTACAAGACTTTAATTACACTTAATAAAAGAGCGAAGAAGGATTCTTAGTTACTTCAGTTCCGTTACACTTTAAAGCTAAATTCACCTCAATAACGCGGATTTCTTTTAAAGGGCACATGAAGTGTATCATCAGTAGAGTACCTGCCCTTAATCCAATAGAGGAGGAGGTGGAGGGTAAGGCAGCATAAAAAGGAATTCATATGACCCCTTTTCACACTCGATGACCTTTTAGTTTCGTATTTCATCTACTTATTGAAGGTAAATGCTACCTAAATAGCTTAATAATGTCATAGAAAACCGAAACATTAGACAAAGTACTCTAGTGAAACCGGACGAAAAAAAAAAATCAAAAATCAAAGGTATAGATTTTTAAAAGTTATAATCACTTTACGTATGGAAAATTGGGAATTTCAAATTTGTTGAAAAGATAATGTGGATCAATCTTTCACAAGGACCTACAATAATATGCTTTCCATAATATATTTCAGTAGTGGCCCGAGGGAGGAGGCACTTTGGGGGAAAACAGAAATTAATGATATTTTTGCACAAGACAAATGGGAGAGAAATTGTTTATGAAAACAGCACGATATACTGACAAAATTTCCATAGCTTTAGTGATGTCATGATTCAAACATTCAAACCTCTTTTATTTTTGTCCGTTTTATTTTATCATGCCGTTTCTGTTAATTTTCTGCTTTCATACAAAAAAAAGTACTACAAAGGTTGGATTATCCTTAAAGTCTGCAGCTCTTTGACTTGGGGGTCACTCGTTTTTCCTAAATTTCATAATTCCGTTGGTTCATAAATTCGAGTTACAAATTTCCCATACCCAATTATAGCAGGTAATTTATTATACTGAAAATGAAATAGCGTTCATAATTCAGAAGATTCGTTATTTGGAAAAGTTTATGAGGTTCTATTTTTAATTTTTGAAATGATATGCGTTTGAGATTATAGACGCCTTTCATTTTCGGAGTTATGAACCCTAATTTCATTCTCAAGCTCAGACTCTATGTTGGACTAGATGGCCATATCATTGAGAAGGTCAGCATTTACATCTACCTCGGACAACATATCACTGATGATGCCAGATGTAAGGTAGACATCTAACAAAGGATTGATATAGCAAGGAATAATTTTCTGGCGATTAAAGACTTATTTACAGCAAGAATAATGAAATTTAAACTTAAAATGAGACTTACATATTCCTAAGTATGTTATGTTCTATTGTACAGAGCAGCAACGTGGACATTAACAAAGAATAAGGACATTGGGTGTACTGAAGAATGATGAAAATGTCATGGAAAGATATGAAAATTGATAGAGAATTAAGGAAAAAGGTTTCTGAAACAAATATCCTTATAGGAATGGTTGAAGCAAAGAGCAACAAGAACTAACTGGGAGGGGAATATTGGAATGACATTGTAAAAGAGTGTACCGGGGTGGCAGAAAACAGAAATGTGTGGAAAATTACAGCAATTAAATTCCGGGCTGAGAGAACATTCCTCGATAGATAAATGTCAATTACTCAATTACAAACACTATTTCATTTTCGGATTTGTGAACCTTTTTTTCGTTTTCGTAAATATGAACCTTGGGAAAGAAGACATGTTACCAGTGGCTCTTCCCAATCGACTCCACCGAGTATCATTGTACATTCCACAGGGTTGGCAGGGTCTAGAGATCCACTTGTCCGCTGTAGTAATACGTATCTCGAAGCGGTATTCCATTCCTTCGGTGATTACCATTCTGCAGAGTTTCGTGGCTCTGTAGTTACATAAACAAATAGTAATCACATGTTTAATGTTAATCAATTGTTCTATCCTATTGAGTACAAATATCTGACACATTTTTCGTTAGCTAGCAATTCCTATTCCTACTTTATAGGTGACAGCGTACTTCTGCTTCTTCAATGTGCACATCGAACATTTTTGCTTTTAAAGGCAGAGTATTCTACTGACATTAATTCTGATCGAGGAGGATATTGTTCTGATGTATGTGTTATACTGTCATTTGCTGCTCACAATGTCCCAATGTGTCTATAGTCATGTCCCACAATGCATTAGCAACTGCCTGACGCGCATGTGTTTATGTTTGGGTACAGGAACCAACAATCACTCCTTTGTACGCCTTCGCCTAAAGATGGCGTAATTGGAAATACATTTATATTACAGCACTGGTAGCGATGTTGGTAAAATACCCCGCTTTTAACAAAATTTGAATTATGGTCTTCTGTGTACAGACTGATGAACAACTGCATACACTTACCGGCGCACGTCCAGTGAAGGAGGGTCCGGTATTGAAATTTCGGCCGACGCTCCTCTGCTCTCGACTCTTGTACTGAGTGAATAAAGCCATGTCCATCTTATCATTGCAAAAGGAAAGGTCCATACTTCTGTCCTCATGATGGAAGATTGGGTCTCCTGGTAAAAAAACAACAACAACTCCCGATTATATATGCAGAGAAATCTCAGTTACAAAGAAACCAGTTGTGCCCTAAGGAATGCATATAAGTCTTGCCTAAGTCTAGCATTCAGTTCTGTAAACAAAATCTATTCATGGCGGACCTGAAATGTATACCCAACAACTAACCAAATTACATGGACTCAGCACACTCATTTTATTATAATATTGTCTGAATCAATGGATAATAGATGTTGGTATGTAAGATTGGTGCTACCTGGGAAGGGTCAGGACGGAAGTTGGGGGGGGGGGGGGGGGGGTGGGGGTGTGTAACAGTGATTAGAAGAGGGGGTGCGAGGGGAATAGGATCTACACAACCGTGATAACACAATTGTTGTATTATGTGTTATATTTAAACACGCTTAATCATTCATTGATTTGTACATTCGTTTATTTCTATTTTGTATAAACATACATATAAATTGACACAAGACATAATTAAATATGCAAAAATATGTCGACTACTACTATCACAATATTTTGCTCATCGGCTAAAAGGAATATTAAAGGCCATTACTTGTGAACAGAATTCTGTTTTCTGACTTGAGTCAATTTAAAACAATCTTATCGCTCGCGGACTAGCAGAATTTCATATTTTCTCTTGTTTAACTATAAATAGATGAATAAATAATTGAATGAATATATATACATATGTATATATAAATGATTGAATGATCCAAAGTCTGTTTGTAATGCGTTGTTAACATATCAAGTTCTATGGTCCCAGCTCAAATGATTTCTACCTCGAGAAGACGTAAAGATACTTCAAAATGTTGAAGTCGCAAGGAATTTGGGCTATAACAATAAACCATGATAAGGTTAAAAGTATTACAAACCAGACTTTTGACTAATCATTGTATATATATATATATATATATACAGCCAATACATGAACTGTGAAGTGTATATACATGTATATATATATTGGGAAATCAAATCCAACCAACCAACCTCGTGGAGACATCCGACGATCACTGTGATTGTCATCTCTTGTCCCAAACATAGATGTGGGCCCAGCAGGACCCTGGCTGCTCTGATATTTCATCACCATTCTGTTTCTCAAAGCGAGCACGAAGAGGACCAAGATCAGGATGAGGATGAAGAATAAAAGTACACCTGCTGTTGTTTCCGACGATCACTGCAATAGAGGTTGCTGAGGGAAAAAAAAGAATTGATTACATCTATTTTTTTTTGTAGACAAAGAGAATCACTTCAGCATTCTGACTAGTCCAATATCATTCGTCATCCGTTGTAGATTAGCAGTTAGAAATAAGCAGGCATCATCTACAACAGGCGGTCATGTTAATATTTAGTCTTGCTACCTCAAACTGTTTAAGTTTCCAACAGTGACCTCCGTGAATTGTCAGGTCGTGTAGGTATTGTTCGAATTAGAATATAAATAGGGTCATGTTTTACCAAGTAAAAGTTTTTATGATATGTGATCAAAACGACAGTGCAATTGAACTAGAAAAGGTCCGATAATTTTTTTTACATAACAGGGCATATATTTGTTTGAATAAATTGCAGTCCCTCTTCAAATAAACTTCTTTAAATAGAAAAAAAATGAATGCGTGGCATAATATATGCATTTGTACTAAAAACCAAATGACTAAACATATAGACCTATTTAAAGGGACTTGGTAACATTGTTAAGATGAAAGAAAATAGTGCTAAGGTAATGAATTCAATGCTAGATGTACACTTAAAGATAATCTGAAAGTTTGAGTGAAAACAAACCATTGTTAATGCTAACAATTGAGAATGTAATCTGATCGATTCCTTAATTCTCCCAACTATATTCTTACAATTAATTACATTTTAGGTGAATGTAAATCGTCACAAAGCAATGAATTGGCTCTATATACCACTCCAGACATTTAAGTGTTGAATCATTTTAAGCGCCTGTCTTATATTTTATTTTCATTGAAAAAAAAAACGGTTGGAAAATTCAAAAATGGTTGGGAGAATCTACTGTTAGAGGGAGGTGCACAGCTACGCCATTAAAGAAATTCATAAATATCGTTGTTTGTTTTTCAGGATGTTTTGCATGTTAGAGGGTTAGTACAGTAAAGGAAAATTAAAGGTATCATTTCATACTCAAATTAAGCTTCTTTTTTTTAAATCAACCTTTAACAATGTTATGAGTCACTTTAAACTATGATGGTAAATTGATGAATATATTTTTAAATAAAACAAAAATGTGTTTGTATTTCATAAAACTCAGAGTGGGAATAAATACTCAATCAAGATGAAAATAAAGATTGTATCTTATCAAAATATATCTATGAGGCATAAAATTATATAAATGTTATGATTATAATACTAGTAATACTAATGATGATGATACTAATAATAATTAAATGAATAGTTATGATAACAAAAATAAAATTAAAACACTTACGTTTGCTGTTTGAGGATGTTTGACAGCGGTCCCCAGTCCAGCTATCGGTACATCTAACGATTTAACAAAATCAGATGAATGTGTATAAAGAAAAATAACTCCTGTGCAAGGGTGATTTGTGGTTCTTCCAAATTCACACAGATCACCCCAATTTTAAGAAATCTACATTGGTTACCAGTACGCCAGAAAATATCATTCAAAATCTTGCTGAGTGTATATGAAGCACATCTTGGTCTTGGTCCCACTTGTATCAAAGAACTGTTTGATTTGATTTGATTTATTGGTTTCTGTATCTTTTTTTCTTTTTTCATCATATATTTTCATGAACATAATGTGGTTTTATACAATATTTTAAGTGTATATACTTTTATACAGATAGTAAACGAAATTAAACAAATATATTGAATGCATAATTAACATACATTAGACGCAGGAGGGCTACATAAATAAGCAAAGTAGCTTGACGCGCCCGCAGCCCTCAACTTAGATACAACAATAACAATATAAAAAAGAGTGACTTACAGAGAAAAAAAGAAAAGGGGAGAGAAGGAGTGTTGGTAATAATACAATAATCCTCATACATCTGCTGATTGAATGCACGTTCATTTATGGATGGATAAACGATGATATAGGTCATGGACGATTACACATTATTTGTTAATGTACAGTCAATGTACACAAACTTAAACAACACAATCGCAACTTGCGCAGTTCCCGAGACAAATCGTTGCCGCAGATCCCATCTATCAAACAAAAATAACACTAGGTGATCTAGAATTTGCTTGTGCAGCCCCAAAACTCTGGGATAACTTACCATTTGAAGTCAGGAAATCACCATCTGTGAATATCTTTAAATCAACACTGAAAGCTCATCTTTTCAATTATCTAATGAAATGTGTCAATGTAAATGAAATATTGAATAATCCGATATATATTTTGAAATACAATGAAGTTTACTGGATTTTTGACAGAATTGGTCAAAGTGTGCATGCTCAAAGTCTCCCTCAGATTATATCCCTGTGCCACATTACATCTCTCCATAGATTTTTGTTTTACCTGTAGTTTATTTCTAGATTTCTAATATAAAATTATTATATTAATTTGAAGAAAAAAGAAAAGGTTGCCATGTAGCGAACCTAAACAGGAAGGTTTAGTGCATAAACTTTTTGTTACAGTTCACAGTATAATCCTCCCAATTTGTTTCTATTGTTTTCACCAATCAGCACTCTTGACAAGCCTGCTAATATACCGTTGATACCAATAGGCACTTGTAAAAAGGTTGAAAAGCGGCTATTAAGGTTGGGACCTACCTGCATTCTCCACCTGATCTATCGCTTGTTATTATACAGGTTCCACTGTTTTCACAGGTCAAGTCTTCACAGGGGACTGTAGAACATTGGAAAAATCGAGATAAAATATTAAAAGGATTCCATAACTATATTATGTAAATAAGCCATATAAGACACTATTTTATAAATTATACCTAAGCGTTTAATTACACCGAATCTGCAATGACCCTTGAAAAGATATAAAAGTGAATATGTGACTGCTATAGAATGGACTCATTTTGTATTGATTGTTTCGATTACATAAATATTAGGGATAGATTAGGGATAAAATGAACCTAGGATTATAATGCGCTAAGATAGTGAGTGAATCGAGTGTAAGGTTATGCTTGTTACATACGTGGCGTCATGTTGTTAGACTGCGACTTGCGCAGGATGCAATACGAACATTCACAATCCCAAGTCCACTCTAGCAAGAATAGTGTTTATTTGTTTTCACGTGATGCATTATTGGAAAAAAAGTAGACGGATAATAAGATGTGGCATTGTTATATGCCCTATGAAATATGGGATTTCATGAGAATTTTTGGAGGGGAAGTTTTAAAAAGCATATCCGGGTTAAAATTGTGCACTCGTTAAACAAATATCAGCCTATTCCAAAAGCATAGGCCAATTTTGACCACAACTGACCTATTGTGTTACTTTGGGTCAGGGTGATTTTTTCTAATCGTTATTATCGCTATTAAAATGCGCCCGATCAGTGCTAGAAAAAAAGTGTTCGAATTGCCCCCACCCCATCAAATACAATAACTATGATCGTTTCAGTCACCTTTTTACCAAAACATGACCATTTGTATTGATATTTGTTCAAAGTCAGAATCAATTTATGGGTTTCGACATCAAAAACAATATAAAAATGTGCGCTGATATAAGAACAATCAATGTCATAGAACGAATTCACGCAGTTTGGACCACTTTGTCAATTTGATCGGTGGCTAGCATTATGCAATTTTAACAATGTTCACGTGCTAGCTGATAAATTCGCCTGTCGCGGCTTGTCGGTGGGGGCGCTGTTAATTGTGAATGCACCCTATTCAATTATTGGTTTTATTATTAAAGGCCAAGTCCACTCCAAAAAAAAACTTACTTATAATAGAAAAAACCAATCGGATAACTAATAAGAAAGTTATGAATTTTGAATGATATGAAAAACTTTGAAAATCACAAGACAAATTGGCAACTCACTCATGAATCTGTGACGTCATTGCCTAACTACCCACTTATTGTTTTATTTATATTGATAACATTTCCCATTTTCCTCACAAGTTTTCGTGCGGATACACTAACAAAGAGTTTGTTTTTTCTTCAGTTAAGTCATGACAAATGTTAATTTGGTAAACTGTTTTAGTATACAATACTCAGAAAATAGTATAAATTCTTCAAAGTTCATAAAAGAATTTGTGAGATGTCATGCACGCAATATGATACAAATCGTATGACTTGGGCAAAGGCATGGGGAAATTAATTTTTAGTGGGGGATAAAAAGGGAAGTTAATGGATACAAATATATAAAGCAATTGATAAATAAGGAGACAATGACGTCACAAACTGATAACCAAATTGGCAATTTGTGTAGTGATTGCCATTTTTCCATACTTGTTCATTCTTTTCCAAAAATGCATAACTTCCTTATTAGTTATCCGATTTTACTCGATCTTTTTTATTTGTATTGGGTTGTCTGATTTTTCTGCTTCAATTGAAATTTTTTTTTTTTTGGAGTGGACTTTGCCTTTAAATGCCTGGGTGATAACGCAATCTAAATGCTATATGATTTGTAATAGGTCGTAATAGATCGTTTGTCGTACAAAAAACTCACGAAAAATGATGAAAGCTGGGAGTGACGTAAGGAACAGTCCGGAACCGCTTGTGATCTCGGCCTCTGATGTCAATGCGCTTCTAAAAATGTCAATAGCTTCTATTTCACTTAAGCTCGTTGTTGGATTGAAAATGAGAATGAAATTGGCAATGATACTTCCACTCCCGAAGGATACGACTCGCGAGCCGATGAAACCCGGTGTGTTTTGATATATCTTATCGAGCTGAGGAAAACAAGATATTGGGTTGAGGAGAAAAATGAGAGAGGACAAGGAAAATAAATCAAATCCATTGAGTGAATTAATTGCCCATTCGAAATTAGTTTTGTGTAATTAATATACAAAAAATATTCCACTAATGAAGAGTCTTCTGGTAAGACTGATGTTTATGGTGGTCGCGCTTGAAGTGAGTAACATTCTTACACAGTTTCATATTCAACCATAAAAAACAATGGATAAATTCATACTTTTCCTAACTCTGAACTTGTTTGTTTTTTATCGAAGGGGAGACACACTGCTAAAAGAAAACATAGAAAACAAAAACCTTGACGAGCAAAAACCTTTGATCTTGAGGAGTATGAAGAAAACTAAACGCAGACAAACAAACTCACATTCTAGTACGCATTCACACTCACACTTACTTTTTTTTTAAATACTTTTTTCTTATTGATTCCAAACAATACAAATTCATTTTTAGAAATAAAGTACAGTTGTTTTTCCTTGACATGAATTCAAAACATTTACATTACATAAATTGTACAATTGATGAATACAAAAATGAAATCAGTTGTAACATAAAAAAAATAACCCCATCCAACCAAACACAGTACTACCCCCCCCCCCCCCTCCTCCCCATCATGCGACACACACACTGTTCCTAGCCCCCTCAGAATACCCCAAATTGGAGCGACAGACAAACAGAAACAAACACACACACACACTCTTAAAACAAAAAATTTGTTTGATTCCTCCAATAGTGTAATACAAACATACAATAAAATAAAAACGTTTTCAATATTGATTGCTTATATATAAACATAATTAAACAACAACTCATATGCAGTATATAAACTGAGCTAAAATTGAAAGTAAACTTAAAGTACATAAACATAAGTTATAAGTCAATTGTACACGTTATTCACTTATACATGTAATAACAAAATAACAAAATAAAACAAACTGGAGGTTATTTTACTGGGTCTCCCAAATACCCCTCCCTCACACAAACACACACACCCACAAAACACACCACATTCATACACACAAGCATACAAAACACACTCCCCCAAAAAACACGCCCCCACACACACGCCACACACACACACACGTACACACACACATATATATATATATTATAAGACATATACTAATCATTAATATACTGTATAACATTATTAAATGAATCAATATAAATAATGTGCCCCCCCCCCCTCTCACCGAGGTGCAAAGAAGAAAAGAACCTTCACATAATTATTGCGAAAGAACTGTTTTGTAGTTCATGTATTTTCACTTTCTTACATTTGCTTGGAGCTCCAATGCGAGGTTTTTGAATGTTGTAGTTGTGTCGTCCAATAGGTCCTGTGTAAAGGGTGCGTCGATGCCTTTAATTCTTGCCAAAACCATGTTTCCAGTTAGTTCATAATTTACTATTTCAAGAGAAAAGAAAAGCAAATTCAAAAGAAAAATAAAGAAAATGATCTAAATGAAGAGACACATTACATGCCTTAATGATCATCATACACTTGTGAAGATTTGGTTACTGAAATATATTTTGAAATCATGATTTTAAAATACAAAATACATAATCCTGGTGGGCTGACAAAATGAATCTTACATCTTAAACCACGGTTATAAAGCGGTAGTCTTGTACGCTTCTTTGTAAGCAAAACTAGTCCCTAGTCTCAAATTATTATCTGTTGTTATCTTATTTCGTGACAGACGATATCATTACAAGTTGTATTAAAACTGAATGGGATCTTGTTCTGTAAAGAAAGAATTTGAATTTTCCGTGCAAAAACTCTTTTGAAATTCTATATATGAAAACAGTTGAGTTGAGGGATAGTTGAGTTCTGTTTTCAAACCGCAAGTGCCTTTAAAATGCATGGTTATTACTCTTATTCTTATCTATGACATTTCTAGTGCCCTTTCAGAACCGAAAATTGCTATGAAGGTAATTTTAGACCCCCAAATGTGTGAAATTTAGCCAATACTATCATACCAATTGAGCTCCACTTTCAAAAAATTACGATGACCGTTAATTAATTATTTAATTAAAAATAACAATACATTGGCCGGCTGGTTGTGCGTAAAATAGCCACCACGAAAATGCCAACAAAAAAGCCAACATCGGCATTGGCCGAAATAAGACGTAAAAGGCGCTATTTCGTTCTTTCAACGTTTTTTTTCTTCCAATTATCTAATATTTTTGGAGGTACACAAGTATTATAAATTGTTATATATGTATGTATATTTCAGCCGTCTCTGAACCGATTTTGTTCAAAAGATGATTTTGTCATTTAAATTGTACGTTCTTTCAAATTTGACACTCAGTTTTCATTATCTCACAAAAAATATTGTGTGTAGCACCCTCTGCAACAGAACTCAACTATCCCTTTAAGCAGTTACGGTCTTTTATTTGGGCTATATTGGATTTAATTAATTCAGGAAGATTGGAAAGTTCAATTTAAATATTTAAAATTAGTTTTGTTAAAATAGGGCAGCCTCTTTTCTTAAATTGGATTTTTACGTCATAAGGTGACCAGGATATTTTTCTTTGGTGGTATTGATATTTTATCTAATACAAACAATATCTGTGTGTCATTTAATTATGAATTTTAAAACAGCCCCCTTTAAAAATAAGTACATATAATTCTGAAATTCCAAATTTCGTTCTACGTTGGTAATATATTATTATTCTGTTCACGTCATACATAACGTTTCAATGAAGTTTGTAAGTTATCTTTCATTATCTAGATTAAAGTATAGAGAATTAAACATATCTTTAAAAATATTGATAAGATAGTTGAGGTAAATGCATTTATTATGCGCAATAACTTTGGGGAACATCTATTGAAATTTGAAAGACACAAATTAAAAAAAAATATATAGACAAATTATCGCCTGTCTACTTGAAGGAGCTGTCTATTCGAAATCATTAATAAGTGATTGGTTTACCTGGTTGATTTCTTGTCACATTTAGAACAAACTGGATGGTTTTTGACAAGACTCCATCTGTTGCTTCAATCCTGATGTTGTTAACGCCAGGCGACAGATCTGCTGGCTGAAATTGTTCCACTCCATTAACAATAATGGGGTCATATATGACGTCACCATAGAACGCGAAATTAAGAGAGGTCAGGCCCTCCTTGAGATGACCACGGAAGAATAGACTGTATGTGTTTCCATCATAAGCAGCGGATGCCTGCAAAATCTCGACTGGCAACTCCGTCACTTTAGAGAAAAATTTGAGGAGGGAAATTAAAGCAACGAAATAAGGCTCAGAATTACATGAAATATATAACAGGGGTATTGAAACCGACTATAAATAGATAAATACATGAAAAAGATAAATTAAATCATTAAAATGTTATCAAAGAAAGGTGGGAATCTAAAATATTGTAGTGGGAAAGAAAGTATTTGGAAGGGGATTAATCGACTGGCGTTTGCATTAGCTAACTAGCGTTTAGAACTGTAATGTTCAATCTTGCCTTGATATATCCCATTTGGGGGGGGGGGGGGATTTTGTCACAGTATGTCATGATTGTATTTTAATTCTCCAATACATTTTGAATAGTACAGGTAATATGTGTAGGTTATAATATACTCCTGATGACATGTTTATGTATAAAACGCATTTAAAGCGATTATTTTCTCTGACATATATTAATTTTACAAGATGTTTATTGTTCACTTCCCGTTCTGACACAAAAGCGGTGATATTAGTATATAATTAAATACTCCTATTAAATAATGGAAATCTCCAAACTACTAAGTTACTAGTAATCATTTCCATTAACCCTATATGGGTGTTCCGTAATTGAGTGTATTACGGTTATTTAAGAATATATGTTGAAGAAAACCCGACTGTTTACATGGGCAATGCAGAATGCGTTATAGGGTGATTATTACTATTAATAAAACTCACTTTGTATATCAATATAACAGACGGTGCTATTGATGTTTCCAGCTGAATCGGTGACAGTTGCTGATATTTCATTGACGCCTGGATCTAACCTTTGACCCGGTTGCTTTGGAGCAAAATCAACCCGAAGTGACGACGGTTCATCGACATTATCCGAAACAACAGCGTCATAATTAGCCACAACGTTACCAAACGGCACAGTCAGGTTGGAACACATTATAAAAGGAGATTCATCATCTGTCAAATCAAATCGATGAATACGTTGCGGTTAGCTAATGTAAATATTTCATGAGATACGGATTATTATTGTCACGTGTATGATTGATTAATAACAAGCTATTTTTGTGCCACTTATAGGATTATATTAGATGTTTATGTGTGTACAAGTGTTGTGGTCTAGTGGTTAAGCCACCAGAATGTACATCAAAAGCTACGGGGTTCTAATAGCCCAGCATTAACGTCCCTTGGTCGACACGTCAATCTATGATTGCCACTCTCCACCCGGGTGTAAATAGGTAACTGATATCCTTGAGTGCTTGTTACTTAGGTGACTCAGCTATGACCAGAATAATAAAGTCAAATCACGTTCATCTCCGTCACTGTGTGACGGAGATGAACGCTCAACAAGTCTTATGATGATGATGATGATGATAATGATAATAATAATAATACAATATTTACTGACCTTCAGTGAGGGGGATACGAAATATATTGCCTGAACTAGATTCATATTAACCGAGTCGTAGATGAGGGCAATATATGTTGTATCTCTCGGAAGTATGAGCCATTCAATATTATTATATTATTATTATCCACATCAGACATTTAGAGCCCAAAATGGAAATATTACTTTCCTACGCCTGCTTTGCTGGCAGCTCTCCCGACACTTTGCAGGCCTTATGCTATGGTCACATTACCCAAAAGTAGCCTGCTCGGCGGCCGAGCGGCGAGTTTTTAACCAATTCTGCCCGGCGGCTGCCCGGCCACCGAGCGGCGACCGGCCAGTCACCGCTCGTTGTTAGGGCATCGCTCGGTCGCCGCTGAAGTTTTAGCGCGGAGTTAAAATTTGGGCGGCGCCTGCCCACTTTTCACTCGCCGCCCAAAATACGCTCGGTGCCTGGGCGGTCTCCGCCCGGGCACCAAACTAATCGCTGGGCGATGCCGAATTCCAGCAGCGACCGAGCAGGCTACTGATCGGTCGGTCGCTGTCTAATTTGTGACCATAGCTTAAGGGGCCGCGTACAGTGCACCTGCCCTATATCATAGCTGTGCCTGCTAGCTAAAAGAGTACGCCAATTAAAATTTCTGTTTTGTGTGTCTACGCCTAGAATTAAAATTAGGATAAGTGATAGGAATTAGGGGGGGGGGGGGGTCGCACAAAAGAACAATAGATCAGAGATTACACAGTATTTTACATAATCCAATATATACATGTACCTACCATTCTTCATAATTTAACGCAATTCATCGAGCTGTTTTAAAGGGTGTAATTTTACTTGTTTTGTTGTTAAAAAAGACACGATTTCCTTTGTTACGTACATACACACGCGCCGTATAGTTGCGCGAGCTATTTCGACTACGCGCTGCATTACTGCTGCCTGCTGCACCACACACACACACACACAGCCGACCATCTGCTTATTTTACTGTAAACATATGGAAATGGCCTTTATTCGCAAGAGAAAAGACATATTTTGCACTGTTTGATTGCAAAGTTCCCGGATGTTACACTTCCGGTTATTCAAGACTTTATATACCTCTCTTTAGAATATAGCGATCTGATTGGTCAAAAATGGAGTCGTGATTTTAGCCATGCCCGCCTGCGAAATTTTTATTCCCAAACAGGTTTGCAATTTCTTATATTTCCGATCTTCTGATTGGCTGATATGTTCTACGTCATTAGCAGCTTACAAAAAGAGCTCACAAACAATTAGACTTGTATTATTTGTTTTGCTTTGCCTCACTATTTATTAAGGCAACAAAACTGAATAAACTGAGATTTGAACCCTCAAGTCAACTTCAAAGTGCTATTAGTAACACGCTGTCCTTACCGATTGAGCCAACGATGGGTTGATGAAAAGTGATTCTGCATGATTTCTATAACCCTATCACTCGCCCTAACGGTTACGTCATTGCTAATGACGTAACATACCAGCCAATCAGATGATCGGATATATTACCATTGGCAAACCTGTTTCGGAAAAAATAATTCGCTGCTCGCCTACCGGTCAATAGTCTTATAAAAGATACCCGGATGCCCGCCTACCGTCAATAGTCTTTTAAAAGATGCCCGCATAAATACATTTTGGTGAGATCCCATTGGTCAACGTGTAAAGAGTTTATTTGTGCGAGCGCAGATACAAAATGCAATGCAGTGTGTTTGCGATTCCCGAATGATTGTAACATTTGGAATCTTTCTAGCGAAGATTTACAGACAATGTCTCAGATTTTCGGTGATGTTTTAATCAGTCCTTACTCAACAAAGGGATAAGGTAAAATTCTTTGTAGATTTTTTTGGTGTGAATTCGGTATGTAAAAGATATAAAGGCTGCTTTAATATTTGTTAGCTCTCGGGGACGTTACATCCTGCTATCATCCCTTGGCACGGCTCGGAGTGTAACTGTGTCAGGATGTAACTTCTCCTTGAGCCTATACAACAACTATTCCTCTCATAGCAGTTATATCTATACTATTGACTGTTTGTTTTTATATGTAAAGTCCATAGGCTTTTTCATGAGAGGGTAATAATATACAGATATCGACTGCTTTGAGAGGCATGGCTGTTTTATTTGCTCAAGGGAACGCGCGCAGATCCTGCCATTACCCTGAGGCGTGCCTGCATGGTGGGCGGCACGCCGAGGGGTAATGGCAGGATCTGCTAGTTCCCGAGAGCATATAAAGCAGCCAGACCTCGAATATTAATGCAGTCGATATGTCTTTTATATGCCAAATTGAAACAAAATCTATCAATAATTCTGACCTTATTTTTTATTGAGTAAAGATTGGTTAAAACATCACGGAAATCTGAGACATAGTCTGTTAATCTTAAATTGAAAAATGACTGAAATGTTTAATCATTTGGAAATCGCATCCAAAAATCACTGTATGGTGTCCGCGCTCGCACAAAAACAATTTAAACACATAAACAAATGGGTATCGCAGCAAAATTTTACTATTTGCATGGTAACCGTAATGTTGAGGGATCTCACTCTTGGATTATCAACCGTTAATGGCATTTTGCGTTTCTCAACGTGAATGGCTAAAATCACGACTCCAATTTCGACCAATCAGATGGTCTTATATTGACCGCGTTGCAAACAAGTGTAATATGATTTTGTAACACCACTGGTCAGATGTCTGATATACCCTTTGACTGTATGAAGTTAACAGCACTACAAACATCAGAGCACACAACAATAAACATTATGATGTAAATGTACATTGTTTGTAATATACCACAATAGGTAGTAACGTATGAGACAACAACAAAAAAAAAATACATAAGACAGAGAAGGTTTATATTTGCTAAAGGGACATGTTTAACAATAACATATCAACATATTTTTGTCCAAACTCTTGTTGGCACTTTTACCCAATATTAATGGATTAAAAGTAAAGTCATTTTCTTCCTTACAAAAAAGTACCATGGTAACCATGGTACTTTTGTCCAAATTACCATCCACCATGGTAACCATGGTTATCATGGTACCAAAACAATGAAATACATTGGGTCATTAGACAATGTATTTCATTGTTGTGGAACCATGATAACCAAGGTTACCATGGTACATTTTGTAAGGGTTAAATGCCGATTCACTTCTCTTAATCGCATATTGCACTATCATTTTGTGATGAATTTAAAATAAAATAAAATGTTAAATGTATTACCTTGAACATGGTATGTTCCTGTGCATGTCTTACTCAATTCGTCATCATAGATAAGTGCAATCACGTCGTGTGTCCCTATGGACACACCGCTGCCAACCGGGGAACCTCCTAGAGTAATATTTACCGAGACATCACCTCCGTGATATCTGTAACCATCTACAGATTTGGTTACGTCATCTGCTCCGAAATCTGGGCTAAAAGTATACGTCGCTTGTCCTGGATCAGTGCCTATTGTGCGATCAAAGTCCGGGCAGTTAACGGGCAACTCGGTAACTGCAAAAAATAACAATGATAATAAAAGACGGTCGGTAATTTAGAAAGTATACGTTGATGTAACAAAATAATAAGTTAGAATTTCGTAAAATATCAAATAATTGCTCGTAAAGTACTTCCCTGCTAATGTTTAACGCAAGCATCTTCATCAGAA